CCCCCCCCCCAAAGTACCTGGGACCCACTGCTGCTGCCCAGGTTTTAAGAGGAAGTCTATACCCTTAAGCCCGTCAGATCTGGTAAACAATGGGCTGTGTAGTTGCCTTTAGAAACATCTTTGGGTGGGGGTGCCTTCCCTGCCCAGCTGCACTTGTAGCTCCTGCATCCCTAATAAGAGTCTCCCCCCACCAGGCCGAGGTCCCCCCAGCAGTCCTGCGCTGGGGTCCAGACCATGCAGTCAAGAAACAGCCGTCCCATAGCCTCTTTCTTCTTCTAGTTCTGCCTACCAGCCACCTGCGGAGATGTGCCGTTCCTTCCCCTCCTCCCAGGGCATGGCCCGAGAAGCCCCTGTTGCCTACCCGCACCAAGTGTCTGAGCCCTGCCTCCAGTACCCCCAGCAGGGCTTCAAGCAGGAGTACCACGACCCACGGTACGAGCAGGCAAGCCAGGGGGGCAGCAGCCGTCAGTACCCAGCAGCCGTGGTGATCAAGCAGGAGCAGACCGACTATGCATATGACTCAGGTAGGCAGAATTAGCTCCTCTGACTGTGCAAACCAGGCATTGATGGGGGTGAGTGAGCTGCTGGCTGAACAACCACTGGTGGTGGGTTTGGGGCTTTGAGACGGTACTGCTTTGTCTTCAGGAGTGTGAGCAGCCTGGTGAACTGGCTGTGTAGCAGGAAATGCAAACAGTCCTGGCCACTTAGGGCATCCCAGAGGGGAGCATGTTCTTGCTCCGTATCGTGCTCTGGGAAGGAATTTCTGGTAGTGGGGAGCTTCAACAAGACACAGGAGCGAGAAGGTGATGTTAAACAAATTCAGACTAGATTAAAGACATGCATTTTCACAAGGGAATAATTGACTGTTGGGGGGGAGGGGAGGCTTGGAGATGCCTTCAGAGGGACATGTGGCCTGGTGGTAGAGAGGGAGTGAAGCGAGGTCAGCTTTGAAGAAATTGTACTGAAAACCTTCTGTAAACGGCAGCAGAAAGGAGGGAATCAAATGTCTTGGAGCCTGTGCAGAAAAGCCTGTCGTGAGTGCCTGCAGTAGGAGGTTTGCTGACAGGGTGACCTTCACGTGCTGGTAGAGGGGGAGAGCGGCTCTGGGGCAGGGACTGCACCGCCGCACCTCGCGGTCTCTCCCTGAATGGAGGCGGAGGAATTTCATTCACAAAATGGAGGCGTCAGAAGCTGCTGCTCTCCCAGACGGGTTGTTGGGTGTCAGCTTTCACCGCTGCCTTCTCCTCGCCAGCAGCTGACATCAGCCAGCGCTGGAGATGCCAGCCAGCGCGCCGCTCCGTGCAGCAAGTCGTGGACAGGGAGAGCCCATGCCCTGGTTTGGAGGTTGCACTGCAAGCTAAACCAGCTTTTTCGGCAAACAGACCTTTCCTCTGGACTTGTGCAGCTAGCAATAAACTGGTCGCTTCCAAGGACAGGCACAACTCACCTGCTACTTCCCAGAGAAACAGGGCACAGAGCAGGTATTAGAGACTTCAGAGGACCACAATGGGGAAAAAGAGTTTATCTATAAATTCCAAAGAGAGCTCTCTAGATACCAGACTGACTGGGTAATTCTCTTATTTTCCACAAGGGATAAATGTTACTTTTCAGCAGACCTACTCAAGCTCTTGCTACTCTGATACCACTTGCACAGTATCCTGTTATAGCAGGCATGTTGCTTCTGGTTTCCTAGTGTGTTAATGGTCATTTTGGTTTTTTTTTTTTTCCTTTAGAAGAAATAAATACACAAATAAAAAGCTCCCATGAGGGTACAGAATGCATTTCTGTGGCCATGCTGATATCACGCTTTCACTGGGTCCTTCTATCCAGACAGGGGACAGAAGCGCACACCCCATGGAAGAACACTTTTGTGAGCATAGTTTATGATTGTAATAATGCACAATCCATCAGCTCAGTGGACGGATCTGCCCTTAGCAGCAGCAAAATATCTGCCTAAGGCAAACACAAGAGTACAAGGGAAGCATAAGGTAAATCTTTCCAAAGCTCCCAGTTACAGCTTCCATTTCAGCTATGGGTGGAACACAGGTTTGAGTCAGAAAACACAGGATACAGAGGCTATAAATTGCAGTGCCCAGCAACACTATATCCTGTACAGAGAGCTTAAAAAAGATCCTTTGTTTGTTTTCAAACTGAGATTGTTTTAACCTTTATGCTTTCTCCATTGTTCATGAAAATTCCCTATTTTGATGTGAAGAAGCCAGTGGGACTTAAAATACCTGCAATGACATTTCTGAGACGCACTCTGTAATGAGCAGCAGCAGCTGAATGTTTACTAATGTCGTCAGTGCCCCCCAGAGAAACGCAACGCCTTCTTCACCTGCGACAGCTGTAGCAGAGTTTAGTTATCTTAAACTAAGTTTTAGATGAAGGAGAGGTATCGTATAAGTTTACCCTATTCTCTGAGATTTTTGTTAAGAGTGGAGCGTGGGTGTGGACAGCACGTCTCTGCTACTCTGAACGAAGCCGTGTGGTAGTACCACAGAGATACAGCACTGTAATTTGTGATAGGAAGCAAAATGAAGATGAAGTTGTGGTGGGAGGGCCAAGAGATAGGAAGTTATCTGGTGTGTCTTTAGCCCTTTAGGAATGCCCTAAGTCGGATGTTGGTCTGGCAGCTGCACTTACCTATCCACATCTGGAGAGCAAGATGGTTCTGCCTCTGTGTGTGCTTTGCAGTGAAATCACTTTGTTAATTGTTCTGTAGATGTTCCTGGCTGTCCTTCCATGTATGTGAATGTTGAAGGTTATCCATGCCATTCAAATACAGAAGGTACATTAGGTAAGAAGCTCGGTGCCTGCCACCTTTTCCCCTGCAGCTGCATTGTGCTGCCCTTCAGCACCAGCCTTTCGCGTCTCTGACTGCGAGTGCTGTTTTCTCCTCTAGGCTACAGCTATGACAAGCAGATGAGGTCCTTCACTGATGATGTCTGCGTTGTTCCAGAAAAACTTGAAGGTCAGAGAAAGAATGGCTCCCAGTTTGGGAGTAAGATAGGGCTATCCAGCCTCTTGGCTGTCCACTTGACTGCCGTCCCCACTGCTTATTGCACAGTGCTTGTGCAGGTGTGTTAGCAGCGGTTTGTCCCTACCCTTTGGGCATCCCGTTTGCTGAGGTCTTGGAGCAGCAAATGGGCTAGTTGGCATAAGCAGCTTGATTGTGAGCTGTATCTTGGAAGAGCTGCTGGTGAATTTGTCTCCCAAGCTTATGTGAACTGAAATATTCTGGGTAAACATTTGTGAAATACTTTTTTGCAGCATTTGAATCCAAGAACGTCTGGAAACTGTCCCTTTTTTTCTTGTAACTTGAGCTAATATTCAGTTCCTCAAGTGGTAGCATCTTTAATCTTCAGTCCACATTCTCTGCGTTTCAAACTCCTGACAGATTAACTGCCCTTTCCCAGTGCCAGTGGGGTGGCCTCAGTCGGTTGTCCCTGCAAGTCAGCCTGGCTGGTTCCACCCAAGCATGGTTCTTCCGTGCACCTGTACCCTATGCTATACCTATGAGTCCAGGGTTAATTTAAGCCCAAAATGACAAATGCAATCTCTATTTATTGTGTATTAATTGAATTCAAGTTCATGTAATAACAAAGCATAATTTAAATTCTAGTGACTCATTTTCTCCTCATTTATACAGATAGCTTTCACTTCCACTGTTTTTTCTAGCAAGGCAACTCATGTTCTAGTTCTCTCTGAAATAGTCAGCAAGAATTAGAATCAAAAGTTATGAAGCTAATCTGGTCCTCTGGGCTGCGAATTTGCAGCCAGAGTCTCAGACCTAGGTAAATGTGAGCTGAGAGACTCTGAGATACCCTGTGGCTTCTCCTGGGGCAGCTCGCAGCCTTATTCACCTTTGCAGCTGTCTCTTACAAGGCAGAAGCTCTGCAAAGAAGGTGCAGGGCTGTTATCACTAGAGACACCTTTTTTGTTCTCATCAGGAGACATCAAGCAGGAAGTTGGAGGGTACCGGGAAGGACCACCGTACCAGCGACGGGGATCACTCCAGCTCTGGCAATTCCTTGTGGCTTTACTGGATGATCCAACCAATTCCCACTTCATTGCCTGGACTGGCAGAGGAATGGAGTTCAAGCTCATTGAGCCAGAGGAGGTGACACCATTTCACTTCTCTCCATGCTCTGGGGAGCAGCCACCATTTCCAAGGCTGCAGATGCCCAGATGGTTCTTCCTCTACCCCATGCAGGCTCTGGCCTGCCAGTGAGACCTTCAGCAAGTCACTGTTTTCAGAGGAGGCCAAAACACTTGGGAGACACGAATATCAGGTTTAATGAAGGCTGGTTTTAAGTTTAGGCTCTCTGCAATGCAGCCTGTCATATTCCCACGGCCTCCCCTTCCTGGGACGCTTCGCTCCCCGCAGTGCAGCGGTTTGTGCTGTCCGTCGCGCTCCCCACTTGAGGCCAGCATTGCAACGTGGGGCTTCGCACCCAGTAATCACACAGCTTTCCTGAAAATCTGGAATAAACTGTGTCCTAAACTCAAAATATCTTGATATCAAAACTGATTATTAACTATAAGGTGTTATTTCTAGTGCTGTTGTGATCCAAAAAGCCCAATAATATCTGACAAGAGCTGAGAGATGCGTCTGGAATATCTGTTCATGTCTCACCCCTGTTAGAGCTGCATTTGGCACTGTTGCTTCGTATCAGCCTTGCTGGGCACCATCAGCGCAGATGAGTTATTTTGCTGAGCTAATGTATATTTACAACAGATTTTTTCAGTCTCACAGATGAAGCTGAGAACCATTTAGTGGCAAGAAGAGGCACGCTGGTCTTCCAGTGGACCTGCTCTCTCGTACGTGGGCTCCTGCTAAACTTGTCTCATCCTTTCAGATAAAGGGTAGCGTAGGATCAAGCAGTCCTTCAGCATCCTCAAGCTTTCAAAGCACTGGAGAACAAGGAGAGGTGGTGACTGCAAATGAGCTCTGCAGTGGCAAGGAAAATACCTGTCTGTGATACAGGACAGTTTATTGGTTCTACTCATCCTCTTTAAAAGCTGCTCAATAATTATGGTTTGATTCTGTTGTAAAACCATTGTAAACGTCTGCATGTGCTTTGGTGTGGTGGTGTTTCCTCAAAAGAGAATCAGCTGGATCGTGTTCTTCTGCCCTTGGCTGCATTCAGAGACACTCACATGCTTTGGTGCTTTATTCTACAGGTAGCCAGGCTGTGGGGTATCCAAAAGAACCGTCCAGCCATGAACTATGACAAGCTGAGCCGGTCCCTCCGCTACTATTATGAGAAGGGCATCATGCAGAAGGTCAGTTTGCAAAGCAGCTGGAGTTTTTATGCCTTTTGTGATACTTCTCTTGTTTGTGACATGAAGGTACAAAACATGCTGGCGCTGGCCAGGCTTCCTGAGCTTTCCTTCTCCTGGACTTATCTTTGCAATAGGCAGAGAAAAATCCTATGAGGAAGGTGTAAAGGCACTGGATGCAGGCAGCCTATAGGAAAGAATACAAAGGGGAGACAATTTCTTTCTTATTTGTGTATGTCCGCAGTTGAGGGACAGTGGGAGTTTACTCAGCTGCAAGGACATATAAGCTGGCCAGATTTACTGTGGGCAAGAGAGACACTGCCTAGGGGTTGGTCCCATGCAGTAGGGATGCTCTCCAGACCCAGGGCACGGGAGGGGACAACTGCGAGTGTAGCTATGTTATGGCACAGACTGGTCAGGGACTGTTGGTGACACTGAGTCAGCTGGCAGCATACCATTTCCCAGGAGCTCTTCCCAGGGGTGCCAGAGCAGCAGGACAGCATAAGGAGGTTTGCAACCCCAACATGTATCGGGGGGAGGGCTGGAGCAGCCAGATGTTTTTGCCAGCCTTCTCCTTGGCTGAGGAGTGTTGCACTGGTACTGCCCATGTGCCTGCAACATTCAGCTTGTCTCTTCCCTGCAGGTGGCTGGAGAGCGTTACGTGTACAAGTTTGTGTGTGAGCCTGAAGCTCTGTTCTCTCTGGCCTTTCCTGACAATCAGCGGCCAACCCTGAAGGCAGAGTTTGACCGGCAGATCAGCGAGGAGGACACAGTGCCTCTTTCTCACCTGGATGAGAGTGCCTCTTACCTGCCAGACCTTGGGAGCCTACCACCACAGCTTTATGGCAAAAGCTACACGTATTAGCGCTGCTAAGAGCCCCCTGTGCTGCCCTTGAGGGTGTAAATAAGGAGACATTTGGTTAGTACTGGATCAGCATAGGCATGTCCCCAAGACCAACTAGGGGCTGCCCTAGACTGTGAATACCTGCCTTGGCCAGGAAAAGGGTTCAGGTCCACTTGTGGATAACCAGCTGGCAGACATCAGGGCTCCGGTGTGCGTTATGATAAGACCCTCGTGTCTGGCAGAACGCAGACCACTTCCAAGCTGCGGAGCTGCAGCTGCAGCAGCATCTCGTGTAGCTGCTGCCTCTGGCCAGAGCAGAGTCTGTTGTAGTCCCTCTCTTCCTCCAGGGAGGAGATGGGGGTCCTACTGGATTTTTTTTCTCTGATCTGAGGATGCCATGACACTGCTGCTGACTCCCTTCTTCCAGGACCTGTCTGGAAGCCTTGCACAACGAGCCCACAGCAAGGGACAGCTCTGACCTACACAGACTTGCCTCCACGAGGGTAGACTTGCCTTCTTCCCAGGAGGGCTGCAGTGCCTTCCCCAACAACCACCCCACAGGAATGGGAAAAACTTGCCCTTTTGTGTGTGCTTGCTCCTGCCTTACTGCCTCCCTGCTCACCATGCTGCATGCCAGGGCTCACTGGTGCTCAGGGCTCTGTCTGAGCAGGGTAGCTTGAGGGACTGGCTAGGATTAGAGGTGCTCATGGCACCACGTGCAGTTCAGGGGAATGGCAGAGCTGCAGTGCTCTGGGGCACAGCTCAAAGCCAGCATCACCTTCAGGCAGGGGGATTGCAGGAAGCAGAAAGAGTGGGACCACCCGTTCTTCATGGTGTTTGGCTCCCAGAGGTCTGTCTCTGGCCATTGGCTATTCCAAACTCAGCAACTTCTTCAACAAACTTCCTCAGGATTTGTGAAGACCTGTTAGGCTCTGAGTGTTGCCCGTTCTGGGCCTGCTGAGGTGTATTAAGGACATACTCTACAAAATAACCTAAAACATACAAAGTTCTTAATATCTGAATTTAGACTTAACCTCTGCAGATGTTTGCATGTTTGAGGGAAGTCCTGGAGCGGTGGTATGGTGGCCATCTCTGCAGCCCAGTACAGCATGCACAGCTTAACTAGACTTCAGCTGGTTTTCCACAACAGGGAAAAAATCTCTTAACAGGTACCACATCCCTATTGACAGGTGCTTCACTCTTAATCAGCAGCTCCAGACATGTGCCCAGTTAGATGCTGTTTGGATACCCCATACTGCTACTCAAACACCTGCTCCCTGCTGCTTCAGTTTGACACACCAGGCACCAAGTGCAGAGCACTGCCAACACTGCCGGTGCGGTTGCCTGGAGAGAGAATTAGTTATGTTCAATGAAAACCTGATTTTCCCCAGTGATTCTCCCCTGCACAGCTATTGCCAGCCCTGTTCCCAGGCATGAGGGCCAAGAAAAGCAGCTCTGCCAGCCTGAGGAGAGGTCGGATCCTCAGCGCAGCCGGCTCTGCTGATGCCTTTGCGTGCCCCAGAGGCTGGGGGTCCCAGCCGCTCCTCGTCCTCCTGCCTTGCCCTGCTCCCAGCAGGCAAGCACGCTTTCTCCAGGGTCTCAGGAGTGAGGGCAGAGGGAACATCCCCATTGGCATAATCAGTCTTTATTATTTATGAGTGTAAAAATACTATAATTAATAAATTGGTCTATATCTTTGGCCAGTGCCCCGGGTAGTCTTTCCTTCTGTTCTGAGGTTGCTCTGCTTATCTCCTTGGCACCAGCTCGCAGCTTTGAGTAGCTCGAGTCCAAGGATGTGTGACTACTTCTGCACATAGTCCAAGAACTGAACACTGCGCTCCCTTGACCTGCTCACAACCAGCCACGTGCAAAGCAATCAGCCACCCTGTGATGACAGTCCCCTAAATCCAGAGGGTGGGCCCACCTACAGAGCCCAGGTGGGTCCTGCTCTCCTTCCACAGGCTGGATCCACACCAGTTTCATACTAAAAGCATGCAATGTTTTGCTTTCACTGTTACTATTTTTTGTACCAAGCTAACAGGCTCCCAGCCTTTGGCATTTGCCTTTCGTGATTCGCTGCTGAATCTTAGCCAGGAGCAGTGCCCGTTACACGCTTCCCCGAGCAGCTGTTGCCAAGGTAAGAGGGGTGTTTCTCCAGGGCGTTGACAACCTTGTGGGTCTGAGAATTTTACCACAAAAGCCCTCATAAATGACAGTTTAGGATCAACAACAGCCCTTAGAAATAGTCTCCCTATGCACAACTTGCCTGCAGGCCAGCGTGAGAGGAGAGGCTGTTGAGCGCTGGCAGCAGGTTTGTTCTTTCTGGACAGGGGCAAGCAATGGCTTCTTTACAGCAATGCTGCAAATGCACTTTTCCCTGCTTTAGAAAAGCAAGAGACAGACCAGGTGAAGTAGAGAAATTCAGTCCAAGGCTGGCTGCTGCTAGATGCAGCATGGATGAAATATTTGATTTGTAAATGCAGAATTAGATTTAAAGGATGATGCTATATTTTGCTGCTTTCCAGACTACGAAGGTTAGAAACCCCGTGAGAGTTTAGCATTCCTCCTGGCACCACCGTAAGCCTGCCGCGCGCAGTAAACAGCTCCCGACAGGTCGCTGGGCCCAGCAAAAGCTCCTCGTTGGCCGGGCCGAGGCCACACCAAGGGCGCCAGCTGCAGCGGCTGAAG